AAGCTATTTATCTCCGTGAGGGGCCTCCATGCTCCCTGCTGCCCAGGGGGATGGAGTGCCCAGAGATCCCCAGATTCCCTGCCTCTGGACTAAGTGTCCCGCCTTGTCCCTTTAAGACTTCCAAAAAGCACTCGCCAAAACAAAACAACAACAACAACAACAAAAAAAGCCATTTGCTTTTCTTTGTTCTATGGCACTGGCCTCAGGGACCCACTCACGGGTCTTCCTCCCCCTTTTCCCTAGTATCCAGGACTCCACACATGCACTGTGTCTGTGCTCTGGTCCAGTAGGCTGGGGCTGGGTTTTCAGCAGTCCTGGGCTCCCTCTCCCTCCCTGCTGACTCTTCTCCTCCCACTGGGAGCTGGAGGGAGCGGTGCTCAGGTCCCGCTGGGCCAGGGCTTGTATCTTACCCCCTTCACCAGGTGCTGAGTTCTCGCAGGTGTGGATGTGTTCTGGATGTTGTCCTGTGTCCTCTGGTCTCTATTCTAGGAAGAGTTGTCTTTGTTATATTTTCATAAATATATGTGGTTTGGGGAGGAGATTTCTGCTGCTCTACTCATGCTGCCATCTTGGCTCCACTGGTCTTCAAATATTTTTATATGAATAAATGCACCAATCACACACAGGCTTTCCATCAATCATATACTCTAGACTCTAGGCCTAGAATGTAATTGCAAAGTCAACCTGTGAGCTTGTGAAAGTCTTTATTTAGTCATGTCTTACAGCTTAAAGTATATTCAGGCTTCTCTAATCAATGTAATTATTTCCATCATGATTGTTACCAACCTGGATCAAGTTATTTTATCATTTGTCTTGTAGAAGAACCTCCTAAAAGGTTTTCTGCATTCATTTCTTCCATTTTTTGTTTCAACCCATTTTCTCCATTGCAGTCACAATGATATTTTGAGAACATTAAACCTGACCATGTCACATCTGTGCATAAAATCATTGTCTTTCTCATTTTTAGGATAAAACTAAAAGTCCTTAGCATCCCCTACCCACCCCTGCATGCTACCATCCCAACCTTAATCAGCCACTCTTCACTTCATTCTATATTCCAGCCCACCAAAGGGATGTCCTTCAATTCTTCAAATGTATGACACCACATCTTATCTTAAGATCCACACACCATCACACATCCTGTTTTCTCTCCCTGTAATATCACCCCTCCTCATTTCATGACCCCTCTTTCTTTCCAGCAAGTTAATTCTCATTCAGTGTTGGAATAAATGCCATTTAAAGGATGCTTTCCTTGATTCTCCTAAACCAGATCAAAACCCTTGTTATGTGCCCTTATAGAAACTATGTGTTTGAGCATCACTTGATTATTTTCACCTCCACCAGAATGTAAACTCCCTGAGACAAGGACTTCTCCTTTGCTCACTTCTCTGAATCTAGCATAATCTGACACATTTTAGCCACTTCATAAATAAATTTTTTGTTGTATGAACATATGAATAAGCTGATATCCTCTCTCCCTTGACTGGAATTCAGTGCACCATTATTGAAGATTTAATTTTGTGATTGTTATTGTTAAACATTCCCAATCTGAGACTCATTTAGATATCTTTTAAGTGTTAACTTGTTAGCTCATATTTCCAGACTTAACATATGAACAACCCTGATACTTGTCAGGGAATACATTATAATTAAATTCCATGATTCATGGGATTCTAAATAATATATATATATATATATATATAGTATAATATATATATATATATATAGTGAGAAGGTTCAGACTTAACAAGTCATCTGTAGGGAAAATTCACCATAATGGCAACAGTCCCAAAGTTTAGATTTCTCTAGTTGTCTTTTTTTTAGACTGGGAGAGAACCATTCCAACTGCCATTGTCATTCTTCTCCATTATCTTACAAAAAGATCACTGAGACTTATGGTTTTAATTCATGTAACTTAATTATAACTATCACAATGTCAGGAGTTCTAAAGAACATGACACATGATTTCAAACATCTTATGGCTTCACATATTCCTTGAGAAACATTCATTGAACACACATGTTTGGAGGACACTAGGAGGTGTTAGGGATAAAAAGGAAATTGAGGATTGTCTTTAAACATGGAATTAAGTTCTTTCACGTTTATTTAAATAGAGACTGCACCACTTAACCAATATGTGACACTGACCAAATTATTTAATCTCTCTGAGTCTAAATTCCCCAACTGTAAATTCAGTCCAACAATCTGGTCATATAATTATGTAATTTAAGTTACATATGTGTATACATTTGCATGTATATAAACATGTCATACAAAGTCTGGCATATAATAAATACACAAAACTATACTTGTTATGATGATCCACAATGTGAATTAACATTTTTATTAAAGGCTTACTGTGTGGCAAGAGCATAAGGGCCTTATAAACTTTCACCCATTTAATCCTTAAAACTCTATGGGGAGGGAAATCCTACAATCCCCATCCTATTTTGTTATAAGGCCCAGAAGTTTCATCAGCTTGCCTGGGTGCACAAAACTGGTAAGTGACAGAGATGAATGATGAGCCCAGAACTCTGACTTGTGCCAGTGCACTTAACCTCTATGTGTGGTAAGAGTTTAATTGGCAGAAAGCATATTAAGAGTTAATTACAACATATCATGACATTTCTAACAACAGTGATAGGGATAATTTTTAGTTAGTTTGACTTGAGGAAATAAAAACCTTTTTGGTAAGTTGGGGGAGTTTAAACAAGAGCTCTATCTTAAAGCATAATCTTTCCAGGTAGCGAAAAAAAAAGATGGGGCAGAGAGGAACATTCTAAGAAAAATCAGGAGGATATGAAGTGACCTATTATTTTAATGAGGGTGGTTGTCCTCAAGGATAGGACAATGAGTGCAAGGGATATACAATGATAATCATAAAGCTTTGCTTTGCCATCCTAGAGTTTGCATGGGTCTGACTCAATCAAGGTTTTTTTGGGTTTTGATTTTTGTTTTCAATTTCTAGCAGGGTAATTATTATCTCAATGTGGAGGATGCATTGAACATAGTAATTACAAGCTAATGCTTTTGAAAATATCAGTGAAAACTATTGAAATGGCCCTACTGGGAAATGATAAAAGCTTGAACAATGGTTTGTAATAGTCTATGGAAGAGGAATGGAAAGAAACAGCCCAGATATTTACCTCTAAGACGGTAACAGACTACACAGAAGGAAATTAGTAAGAAAAAAAAAGAAGGTACAAATAGAACTTTACAGATAGTAAATCACAAAAAAGAGAAGATTAGTTCAATGAAATTCAGCATGTATTTGTTGAGTGCCTCTGGAGTAATTTGCATTTTGTACAAGCCAAGAAGTGAAGGAAAGAGACATATATTTTAAAGAGGAAATATTCTAGATTTCTTCCAATAAAATATTCATATTCCTTTTAATAATTTCATTATCAGTGTCACTAATAGCATAATCACTAAAAATGTTGAGGTATGTGTAATAATAGACTTTCTCCTTTAATAAGGGCATGTGATTTCTGAAGACCAGTGTATCTGAATCTAGGTCAGTGGGTTTGCCTTAGCTCTGAGCAAACTCCTAAGGATGTAGCATCAAGCAAAAAGTTATTTTTGTTTTCAGGATATTCTGTGATGAAGGTTCAAAGAGATCCCAAGGTAGTTCAGGTAACAAAACAAGAGCAGGTACAAGTTATTCTTTGTGGAGAGAGAATATTCTATGAGCAATGCAATGTTTAAAACTCTGTGGACTTGTTTATTACGTTGTTAAACTTCTCCTCATTTCTGTTTGAGAACTTCTTCTGTGTGTCAATTCTTGTGAATACAGCATATATTTACTGCATTCAGTGGACATCAACCCTGCTTTATTGCTTCTTCTGTGGAATATTAACAGTCAACATTAATATTTCTGTTGCAAATATTTCATTTAGATTTTTTTGAGGTTAGCATGGGTTTCTTTCCTTTTTAAATCATTTACTACTTGAAAATAAGCTATTAATTCCAGTACCACCACAGAAGATCAGTAGCCACAAGGAACAGAAGGGGATCCATTTCTAATCCATCAAGTTCTAAAGAAACTCCTTAAAATCCAAGTGCACACAAAATATATTATGCCTTATAGTTTAATTAGAATTGGGGAATTTTTGCTATGTATGATTTCTCTTCTCATTAAAGTCTGATAAAATGTCTGATTTCAGTATGAGAACATTTCATGTCAGTTATGAGAAAGGGATCAGTTATTTGCACACCTCTCTTCCTATTCTGATACCATCTCTGTAAACAATTTCAGCATAGTCAAGCAGCCTTTACCTTTAGAGAACTAAGGACATAGTCTCGAATTTTCTTGGTCCTAATACCATAAACAATGGGGTTAAGAAAAGGTGGTACCATAAGGTACATATTAGCAATGAATATGTGAATTTGGGGCACCACATTGTGACCAAAGCGATGAGTCAGGAAGGTAAAGACAGCTGTGGAGTAGAAAACAAGGATGACACAGATGTGAGAGCCACATGTGCCCAGAGCTTTAAAACTTGCTTCCCGTGATGGAAGATGAAAGACTGCACGGAGTATTAGGACATAAGAAATAACAATGAAAAAGCCATCACAGGAACCGATGACAGAGGCCACACTGAGACTGTAACGCTTGGTGGCTCCTGTGTCCACACACGCAAGCTTCACCACAGCCATGAACTCACAGTAGGTGTGCGCAATGATTCGAGTCCTGCAGTAGGGCAGCTGCCTGAGGAGAATGGGATGTGGGGAAAAGAAGGCCACTCCCCGGAGTACCACAGAAGCTCCCATTTTGGCAATGCGAGCATGAGTGAGAATGGTGGTATGGCGCAGTGGATGACAAATGGCCACATAACGGTCAATGGCCATGGCCAAAAAGAAGCCTGATTCCATAGCAGTAAAGCTATGGATGAAGAACATCTGGGCCAAGCAGGCATCAAAAGCAATGTCACGGGCTCCAAGCCAGAAGAGACAGAGCATGCGGGGCAGTGTAGATGTGGAGAGGACCAGGTCTGTGACTGAGAGCATGCACAGGAAGAGGAACATAGGCTCATGGAGGCTGCGTTCTGTCCTCACCACCACCAGGATGGTCACGTTCCCCACCACAGCCACCAGGTACATGGAGCAGAAGGGAATCCCGATCCAGACGTGCAGGTGCTCTAGTCCTGGGATGCCCAACAGCGAGAAGTTATTTGAAGATATTTGAGATTTGTTAGCTGGTCCCATTGTGCTACTGTGGTCTGTGTTTTGTGGATGGAATTGTCCTTTGTAGAGCAAAAATATTCTGCCAAGATCATCACAACCAAATCTGGCAACAAAGTAAAAACAAATCTGGAAGATCCCAAGACATCACATTAGAAGGTTGTGAGTCAGAGTGAAAAAAACCTTAGTAATACTAGGTGAAAACTACACAACCAGGCATGGGGTATTTATAGCAAATCAACTCATGAGTCTCACGAATTTGTTAAAAACAAAGCAACATAAAACAACCCCCGACTTTGTCAACATCTATGTATGATAAAACTCAATACCACTTTTTGAATTCACAATTTGACTTAATCATAAGGCTAAATCAGATTTTGATAGAAATGTCGAATAATGTAAGAGGAATGGATCTTAGAATTCATCTATACTAATTTCCTTCTTAATGTCATCCTGAAATGTAATTTTTTAGCTGATGTCTGAGTACCATCAAGTATGGTTTACTAATTTCTTAGACAGCCTATTGCATAACTTTCCAGTGGTGTCACAGAAGCAATCTGCAGGAGTTTTAAGACAACACTGGCCTATCCTATGTAACTTTACAGACTCAACTGTGTTCTGCATAGAAGTCATCACAAAATCTGTGGTTAACAGTCATGCCTCCACTACATTCTCTCTGTTGCAGAGAAATATTTCCAATTTATATGTCCACTTATTATAAGCCTCGTTTTCAAAAATCCTAATTTTCTACCTCAACTCTTCTGTACATTCTGTGCTCTGTTCTTGACCTTTATTGCTTGTACCTGAACATACTAGTCACTACAGTGATCCCATGCACTGGAGATCTCTTTTGACTTTTACACTACTAGTGTCATTTCAGTTCATATCATTTTTTATATGAAGTTAGGAAGGAAAGTCATACTTAGTTGATCTTTACATGAAAAAGACATTTCTCTGGAATCTTTGTACATGTTAATTTTTACCTAGAAAAGCAATGCAAACTAAATATTGCTTTTCTAATTTTACCAGCTAGGAAATAGAAGCCTGGAGTGTTACAGATAATGTAGTGAGAGCACAGAAAGAGTTGCCAGGGTACCAGAATTCTAACACAGCTTTGTAACTGTGAAATCCCCACTATTTTCATTATGCTATACTCATTATTGGTTGTCCCAGATGTTAAATTCATAGTCAGTTATAACCTACTAATGTGTTACATAATTTTCAAGTCTGATTTTTCAAGACAGTTTTAAACAAATGCTTAAAAATTTAGCCTTTTCATTGAAACTTGAAAATCTGCATTGTATTATTATAGAAAAATCTTAAAAATAATCATTATCACTTGAAAAAAATGATTACTAAGCATTTATCAATGTTTACACCCTGAATATAATCAGTATTGTCTGTGGATTTTAAAGGTATATATTCTACACCTGGTCCAAGCAATTGAAACATAATTTTGAAGTAAGTATAAGCCAATAATAAGATTATTTTTATCATCCTATAAAATTGTGCTTATCCATCTAACATACTCTGCATATTTTTTCATCAGTTATAAATGGGATCCGTTAACTATGATAATAAGATTACCCATTGTAACTTATAGAGTCTAGTCAAGTATGTCATTTAACTAGAATATAACTTATACAGTATTTGGGGAAGAATTTTCAACACATTAAACTGACTGCATATTTGATTAAAAATATTCCCAGTGTTACTTGGAAATCTTCTCAGTCTGACCTGGGCTTTATAAAATAACTTATATAATGCTTTTGATTATTATAATATTTAGCTCAGAAGAAAAGTTCAGTAACCTTGAAATATATGTCAAGTATTAATAATAGTGCTTTTGCCTCTGTTTTTTCTCCCATCTGATTATTTTCATTTTCATAGACTCCTCTTATGTCCTTTTATTAATGTATATTTATCCCCTTAGTTGTCTTATATATACTGGTTATATCTTTTTCCCCAGTTTCCTCATCTGTAAAGTGGATTAAACAAGAGGTTGTTGGAAGGATTAAGTTAATTAATACATGTCAACAATTTAAAATACTCTCATACAGACCAAGAATTTAGAAAATAAAGCCCTGGGATTTGGTCATTATGCCATAAGTAATGTGGCTACAGCACAGCACCAAAGCATGACATAATCAAATTTGCAGTTTAGATGACAAAATCAGTCATTTTTCCAAACTTTTCAACCAGGTACTCTTTGTTTATGCTCTGTGGGGTAACACCAAACTTCTATTTCCCAGATATACCTGCTTCTTTGTAAGACTATGCCTTTTTCACATATACTTCTCCACATACTTTGATGATGCCTTTTTCACATACAATTTTCCTCTCCCTCATTCATTCATTTCTCTTTGTAAACTACGGCTCTTCTTGTAATGTAATGTCTGTGTCAAATGTAATCTACTCTATGATTTTTGCTGGATTACCTCAGACAGAAATTTGCAGGTTACTCTTTTGTGCACTCATTGCATCTCTACATATTTTTACATTTACTTTTATAGACTTTGTATCAAATTGTGGAGTATTGCATTCATAAACAGATTATGGTGACTCCTATCTCACAAGATGAAATTCTCCTCAGTAGAGCACAGCTGAATATTGCTATGACCCAGTCCAAAGACTGGCATTAGATGGTGCTTACTAACAGAATACTGCAAATGGCTGCTCAGCTGCTCAATCTGAGAGACTACAAAGCCATATTCTTTACTATGCTGCTTCCCAACGCTTTCATAATTGCAATGCCATTTCTGATATTTACTGAAACTTATTCAAGATGCCTAGATATCAGACTTAAGAGAACTGCCCCTGCCACCTCTGCCCACAGTGAAAAAAAAAAGGGTTTCTGCCCTTAGGTAGATCTTTATTACTTCTTTGCTTTTTCATTATTGTAAGACAGTTCATCAGGTGTAAGGAGGCACAGCAAGTAATTGAAAATGGACTTCAGGTCAATCAGTGCTTTACCTGAGAGCGAAGATCTTGAGTGCCTAGATCTCCATTTACAGAGAAATAGTTATTTACATTTTTCTGTTGGCTCAAAACACTTTTACAAAAAATCAGAGAAGATCTACATATCTGTACTCAAGTATACCTCAAGAGGCAATCATGTTTTTTGTGTATCTGTGTTGTTTTCTCATGTGTTGTCATAAATAATTATATAATATATCCAGAGATCCAAGCATACAGAGACTCTTCAGTTTCTCCACTATATATAAAGGCTTCTTTAAGTACACAGTAATGTTCAAACAAGCACATTCAAATATGCACTGATGTATTTAAATAAGCTTTTATTTAAAAGTGGAGGCAAAACACTGTTATATCTTTTAACATATAGCCTGAATTTTTCTCAGAATTATTAGCGTTTCTATACTTCAGGTCAAAAATTAAGGTCTGAGTGTGGAAGTGGTAGACAGCGAGATGTCAATGCTCTTCTTCAAGAAAATCTATTCAGGAGAAATGTTTATTTTTCATAGGGTTTTAGTATGGAAATCTTTCTATACCTTCTATACTCTTCTCTGTAGATTACCTAGTGTGAAAATTAACTACATCAAAAATAACAAGTTAATGTGACTATGAGAATTTGGTAGTCTGGAGTGTTTTGAAAATTAACGAAATAGAAAAGGTCAGCTATGGCTTGACCTTGCCCAGTTGATCACTGAATAACAGACACATTTTTTCACCTTACTCTTAAATATTCTTCCTTCAACAAGAGTTGCCATGATTGATCAAGGTCTAGTGCTGAGTGGGAGGAAACTGGCTATTCTTTGCTTGCAGCTGTCTTTGACCCAAGAACCTGTACTAGTCAAGCAGCTTCAGTGCTATTTTATTCTAATTTGGAATGTTTATGACTTATGCTTCCTATACTTTATATAGGAACAGGTAGTTATATTTACATCACTTATGGGAGAAAGGGTCTCTTTCACTTTCTAAGTATATTATTTGTCAGTAATCTCTTAATTTTACTAAGGGTCTTCAAAGAAGGGGACATTACCTTTTGAATACCTCATAATTCTATAAGTGCAGATGTTTGAATGTAGCCCTCTCCTCTCTTTTCCTATTCTGTGTTTCTATGTTAACTCACCTAAATTAATAGCTGAGAGTCATCCAGTGAGCCAACTTTGATAAGGTGCAGATGCTAAGAAGTGTGCTCAGCAAACATGAACTGGAATTACTTCCAACTCCAAATCTCACTGGATTAAAGTGTATTAGGTGGCAGGGAAATCAGTGGTCCTCTGGGTATGGGGCCTTTTCCCAAACTATAGGCCCTAAATTACTTTCCATTAGAGTAATTATTGTTCTCTATCTCTTAAGTTAATAAGTAAGGACATTATTATTTCCCAAAGGTCAGCTGAGTGCTTTAATATGGAATATATATAATGAAAAATATTATAAAACCAAGGAAAAGAATTATGTTTATGTATTGAGATGCCATCATTTTCTAGGTTCTAGGGTTAGTGCTTAAAATCCTTTCTCTCACTGACCTTCAAAACAGCCTTTGTAAATAGAAAATTTCCCCTAAACAGGTGAGAAAATAGAGACTGAAAGACTAAATGATATATGTAAACTTTTACAACTAACGCAGGGTGACGTCAGGATCTGAATCCAGATATCTCTTGCTCCACATTTCATTTACTTAACTATTATATCACCGAGATTAAAAAACGAAGATGCCTTAATTAAAGTCTATAGTCTTTCTAATACAAAAGTTGTCAATTCTATGGATTATGACCGACAATATCCAAAAATGACCAGCAATTGCCTTTATAATCTGGTCCCTGCTAGCCCTTTGACACTACTTTCTGCTACACAGCTCATCTTAGTTTCCTTGGATCTCAGTCAATCTAGTTTTTTGTTTGTTGTTTTTTTACTGTCTCCTTTAAGATTCTGTCTCATGTTTTTACTTCCACTTCTAATGCTCTCTCCATCTTTCTCACCCATGCCTTATTTCCTACAGTTTAAGGTTACAGCTGGAATATCACTGCAAAAGGACTTACTTTTTTTTGTCAATAAATTAT